TTTGATGAAAAGCAAGCGATTCGTCGTTATGAATTGTGGATGCAGAATGCTATTAGAAGAGTTAAACGTGCAAGAGAGGTTGGAAAAAAGATCAGAGCATGTACAATTATACAGAGGAAGTTTATTGAATTTATGTATAAACCCGATGGTATGATGGCCAAGCAGTTAGCTATACATTTCAACCTCTTATGGTCAGTTCGAGAAGAAATGCGTCATGTTAACAATGTATAAAATAAATAATTTATCTATTCATTAATGTATAACTTATTACAAATATAACAGATATATAAAATACATATACTTATCTATTTATCAGTGGAACTGGTATCATTATTTTCTGGTGATGTATTTTTTGTTTGCACTTTTGCCTTAACTCTATCTCCTTTTGTAAATTTAACGGAGTAGAGTAAATTCATCATCCTAAGATCGACATTAATTACTGCGCCTGGAACGCAATCTCATGTGATCATAACAGATAATGTAAAAAAATTTGCTTGCGTAACTGATCAATTCGTAAAAAATTTTCACTCCTCTCTAAACACAGATGACTTCCGTAACCACTACACTTAATTTTTACTGAATTACGCCGGTCCACGAATGGACATGTACCAACTTAGTGGATTATTACCGCAAGGAAAACATATTAGAACTATCAAAAATTCTTGACAGTGTAAAAAAAAATCTTACGAAGGTGGCAGATGTCGAATTTGGATTCGATGTAAAACGTAGAACGAAAGCTCAAGAACTACTCAATAATTGGAAGGTGAGTTTTACAGTTATTGTAAGACTTTAGTTCATAGTAAGGAATCGGAAGGGCTCGAACTCTTAGTTTAGAGCAGTAACCTCAACTCTTGGTTCGAGCGTGGTGAGCTCTTAGCTCGAACTTCTTTTATTTCCTTGGGAGGAGCTGAACTCTTAGTTTAGTGGTAACCTTAACTCTTGGTTCAAGTGTGGTGGGCTCTTAGCGCGAAACTCCCTTTGTATATTTTAGTTGGAAACTGTTGTAGTGAAATAATTTACTAACGCACATTCTGTTTTGCCAAGAATTGGACTGCGCCGGTGAAGAAAGTATATAAGCATAATCGAGCATTCAAAAAAATTGGATCTGTACGAGTTAAACAACAGTTACATGCGATCAAAAATTCTGCAGATCAAGTTGATGTATTTCAAAAACAATTTGTCGATGATAGTCGAAAACGTCCTCCAGATGAACAGATGGATGAAGAAGCATTGGCAAAGAAGGCGAGAATTGAAAGTACAAATTCTATTGAAAACTTTACTTATGGTAAGAATAGATTTGTGCGATTAATTTTGGAATTATAAAATCGACATAATAAAATTAATAGTTGCATCTATTGGCCTTATAAGGTATTAATAAACAACGAACATCAATCTCACCCCCGTCTTCCCATGACAAAAGTAATTCAGTTGAAGAAAAAAATACGGAGGAACTCATTGAATTTTTACAAAAACGGAATTTGTTCTTGAATGCAATTCATTTTGAGATTTTGCGCAACCGAGAGATTATTGGTCGCGACTTCCTTAAAATGAACAAAGAAGATTTTAGAGATTGCGGGCTAGAAATGGGGCCAGCGATAAGGCTTGCAGACCTCGCTCAGGAGCTCAACGATCAAAGTAAGTAACTATAATATTGTACTATGGCTTTATTTCATTTGATAATTTACAATAACTTATTGTGTATTTCGGCGATGTAGATGAAGACTCAAGTAAAACATCTACAGTAGGAACTCCTCCAATCGTTGCCGAATTGGATATGAAACTCCTTAGCGATAATCTTAATAAGATCATTCGTGGCGAATTTCAAAATATTAAGGGGGATATAGAAAAGATTAGATGTCGGATGGAAAAGATTGACGACGCAGTAAAAAGCCTTGAACAAAGAAATAATATTGAAGGAAGTGAACTTAGTAAATAATCAAATTATGCTAACTTAATATTTACCATTTATTATCAAAAGATATATTAGTTGAACTTAAAAAAAAAATTTTAAAACGTAGCTAATCAACTTGTACTGCAAGTGTATTTGTTATTTGTTAGTTTGCTCACATCAGGTTTGTGTATCGGAAAAATAAAAAATACAAGATCGCTTACATAACAATCATTAGCAAAGAGATCGGCGTTCTGAAACGGACGCGTGTGATTCATAAATATGAATTTAAAGTTTTAACTCTACTCAATAAGACCCAATTCTCGAAGATGCTCAGGAATAACTATATTTGGGTCTTCGTAGTACCAAACATACCTTAAAACAATCCAGTTTTCTTCGCACAATTCATTCTTGAGTTGATCCCGTGCTTGCTGTTTGATAAAATTATTGGGATCTCCTCTATGAAAGAATTCGTGATATTTTTCATGCTGTTGCCCCTGTACTTCTATAGCAAAACCGTAATCATAATAAGGAATATCAAGTTGCAATCCCAATTTATGCTCTGGTGTTTTTAAGAAATTGGGCCAGCGATTCTCTGATGATGGACTAAGATATTTTGATACAATTTCACGGCACAATTCTTCACGTTTATATTTGGAACAATATGGACACCATGTAAAACCGTTTTTTATATTATTAAATCGAGCAGTCCATTCATGACCTTTAGTACAACACCAACGTAATGGAATTTCACAATTGATATATTTTTCAGAAAGGCATTTACCATTTTTATTATATGCGTACTGCTTGACATATTCGAGAGTGTAAGGCTTTCTATGAGAACATTCTGGACACCATGATCTACTATTTTTAATTTTAGCAAATGAAGCAAACCATTCATGACCTTTAGCACAACGCCATTGCAATTTTGTGCTATTATTAATATATTTATTAGAAAGGCAATCTCCATTTCGGCTTCGAGCTATTTGTATAGCATCTTCAATTGTACAACGTGCATTTCCTGCACAATATGGGCACCAATGTCCATTTTTAATATGAATAAGATTAGCCGTCCATTCATGATTTTTAGCACATCTCCATTGTAATGGCATCACGGAATTAATAAAACTTTTGGAAAGACACTGCCCACCTCGATTTTTGGCAATTCTATGTGCATCATTTATAGAATATTTAGTTTGAAATGGCATACCCGCACAATGTGGACACCATGTCCCTAAATATTTAATATTCTTAAACGGAGTACTCCAAATATGGTCTTGATGACATTTCCATAACATTGGAATCTTACTATTAACATATTCTGTTGAAAGGCATTGACCATGTTTGGATACTGCAATTTGTATAGCATCTTCGAGAGCAAGTCTTACGTGACCTGCACAATATGGACACCATGATCCTTCATATTTAACTTTTCTTAATAAAGCAGTCCATGTATGATTTTTAGAACAACGCCACATTAATGGAGTTTTAGCATTTTTATATTCTGTAGAAATACATATTCCACCACGAGATTTAGCAATAATACAAGCATCATTTAAAAATGATTTTTTCATTGTAAATAGTTGAACTATAATATTTATTAGATATCTTTAATTTAAGTATTTCTACAGACTATCAGGCCTCTGTGCTTCAGAATTAGCATTACATTATCAATTATTATGGGTGGTTCGAGAAGAAATGCGACAAATTAACAATGTATAATCCATATATCTATTTATTCGATTTATTAATGTATAACTTATTCATGTATTTTTTCTTGATGTATATTTCAACGGAGTAGGCACAAGGTACCATAATTTTCATAATAAATTGCACAGTGAAATCGATCAACAAAAATTAAAATTACTTGCAAGTCTGAAGTCCCATTAATAAGTATAGTCATATTCTCTCGATGCTTGTAGTGTATCACGACATCTTCTACAAACTATCCAAGGATATTTGAGGTTTAAAGACGCTAATTGATTATAGTTCTTCTTGTCATGAGCAGTAATCCGATAATTTGAGTATTTTTTCATCAAATCTCCTATACTTACATTCTCATTCTTTGCCACATAAGCTTTATGAATACCATCTACTATAACTTTTATTGCATTCTTATCATATGTATTCGAAGGCTCCAGTTCAAGTGTGATGGTATCTGATTTCTTAAATTTATGGCCACCACGAAATCTCATCCCCACCACCATAAAGGAATGTGTAACAAGCCCGGGGGCGCTGTCACCGGTGGTCCTTGGTTTTCTCAAGTACCACCTGAAAGAGTGACTTTACGGTTCTTTTAAGGAGTTTATAGTCCTTTCCTGAAGGTAAGACTGTTGTTTCATTATTTTAGAAGGCACCACTGATTCAATTATTTTAGAAAGGGAATCAGACCTTT